CACCTATATGGCCCTGCCTCATTTTACTTATAAAATTTTACTTATAAAATTTTGGATTGTTTTTTCTATTTTCTTACTATTTAATAAGGCAATGAAGAAAGCCAGAAAAGCCTTTAATGTAATTTAAACTCCAGTTATTAATACCTTTATACTTTGTATTTTCTTGTTAGTTTGGGATTTGAAGCAGAGGCTTAAGCTGGCATGGTAATCCTGGCAGTGCACGTTAGCAAGTCCCAAACAGTGCAGAGAGCCTTGATTCCTTAAAGCAGGGGACTAAATCTGTCTTGCCCTAATTCTATCAATTCATTGTAAAATTGGAGAACTTTGTGAGTTTGTGTTCTCTCAGGCTCCAGAAATGTGAAGCACAGCCCAGCCCATGATGGTGAGGTATGGCGTGTGTGGGGTGTTCTGGAGCTTTACAGGAAGTTTGGGGTTCTGGGATGTTTTCCCTCCTCAGGTTCTGTGGAGGGGTTCCAGCCTTGATGCTCTCTTGCTGCAAATCAGCTCCATGTCTTTGCTCCCCTGGGCTGGCAGATTCCTCTGGATGAGGCCAAATGCTCTGCTGAGCTCAGCCCTGCTCCTCTGGATCCTCTTCAGTCCATGGATTCTGCTCCTGCTCTCCCCAGAAAGAGAAGAGCTCTTTCCCCAAGGCTGAAAGGATGAGAAAAGTTTCCATCCTGCCTCTGTCCAAGAGTGTGAATCTCTCCCACGTGAACATCTAAATACTCAGGATTTTGTGTTCTGGCCATGGGAACATCTCTGTGATGGGGTCATGGCCTTCTCCATGGCCTTCTCCATGGCCTTCTCCATGGCCCCAGACTTTTCACAGAGTCACAGAATTTCTAGGTTGGAAGAGACCTTTAAGATCATCGAGTCCAACCCATGTTCTAACACCTCAACTAGATCATGGCACCAAGTGCCACATCCAGTCTTTTTCTTTTCAAGGGAATTTCCCATCTGAAGCCCTCAAAGCAAAGCCCATTCCTAAGCTCTGAATCTCCCGTAAAGCTGCTTTGGTCATGTGGTTTAAATAGAAAGTTAAATAGGAAATGTGGAAGGAAAAGGAGATGTTGATTCCAGACAAAACCCCCAAAACACTTGTGTGGATTTCCTTGGACATTTCACAAGAGGTGCTACTCTCTAAGCAAGGCATAATGTGCTTTGTGGGTTTTAATATTTTTTTTTCAAGCTTAAATTTTAGTTAACCACAGTTTAGATTTCTGGACTTTATGCTGGGATTCTATGAGCTTAGATGAAAGCAAATCTCGCTTGAAAGAATTTCCAATCTAATTTAGTTTTTAGGTACCTTCACATTAAAATATTTAGTTAGTATATACTCACTAGGGAAAGAGTGCTTGATTTTAATTTTCATGATGATTGGATTATGGAACTAAAAGTTGATTGAAGAAGTTATTTTGTTTTATTGGTTGAGGGAACATAACTCGACAGTTTATTTTGCAGTTTATATTTTTGGTGCCATCTCACGTAACACAGGCTCGTGTATTACTCATCCTTCCCTTCTCCTGCAAAGCCTTTTGGATTTTTTATTTCTCTTTTTAATTTCAATACCCTGGAGTGTTTGAATTGAAGAGTCTCAAATAAAAATCTATTTTGGGGCAGGAAGTTTTCTTGATGTTTTGGATAACATTTACTTCTACTTTCTAATGCCAAATCATCTTTAGGCCGATGCCATTAAGGCAGAGAATTTTGTGGTTTGTATAATAATACAAGTCCCAAATGGTGGCAGTTATTGAAGTTAACACTTTTTGCCCAACTGTGGGAGTACCAGCATCTTTGAAAGATTCCAATTTTGGTTCTTATTTATGCTTGACATTTAATGTGCTTGACATTCTGATTATTTTACACCTACCTAATTTCTTCTAGCTCCAGGGATAATGACAATATTTTAAGCATCTGTGAAGTGTAGCTGTGTGTTATGGAGCAGGTGCAAGGCTACAAATGGAAGGAAAAAGTCCCTAAACTATTTCTGGAATCATTGTTTCTTTTGTGTTGCATATCTCAGGGTCAGGTAGAGTTTCTCACCAGCTTGGTGTGGTTACCAGTATTAGCTTTACTAATATTTCATATCCTGTTATTTAGCTATATGCCTATCTCTGTGTGTATAGATATAAATAAATCAAATAATGTGGACTGGGTGCTCACATGGTGTCCTTTGTGATCTAGGGGCAAGGAATTAGAGAGAGAGTTTCCCAAGTTGTTACTGGAGATTTATATTTTCCCTAAATTTTGAATTAAAATAACATACTATAAATTTCAGCCCTTTAAACTGAGCTCATGTGTCCGTTGGATGCCTTTAGTGTAGAACTTAGAACTGTGTCTTGGTTTATAGATAATTGGGATATAACCAGATAAATGAAAATATATGCCAAAAAAATTACGCAAATGAATGTAAGTACACTCTGTGTAAAGTCCTTACTCTCCCTTTGCAAAGTAATTTTATTAATCTTTTAGAGTCATATTCCCATTTATTATGTGGTTCCCTGCAGTCATGTCAGGATTTAGGCTCTTTTGAAAAGGTTAAACTGGTTATCACGGAAAGAGGATGAAAAGAGTGGGAAACCCAAGTTCTTCACAGGAGTGCAGCTGGTGGCCACAAATTCCTTTTTCATGTACTGGGAATCTCCTGTTGCATTTGGCTGTTGACTACATGAGGAGTGACAGAGAAACCTTAAAATAATTTATTTTACAGACCATGTGGGTACATGTTAAATACTTGCCCAAAACAATCACCATGGCCTAGCCAGGGGTCCTTGAAGCAGCCCTGACTGAATGGGTTTTAGGAACAATTTTAAAAATTCCTTTATTTTGCAATCTTGCCACCTGGTGGTACAGCCTGATAATAAATATTAGGTTAGAAACCTGTTCCAAAAGTCATATTTTTTTTTGGTAGACAGGGTCTTGAGACTGGGATTTCAGACTGGGTCCTACACAGGGTCTTGTTTGTAACAGGCAGGTTCAGTGTGTTCCTCCTCCACTGTGTGGGGCAGTGCAAGGCTGTGCATCCCTTGGCATTCAATAGCACAGAGTCACATCAGAGGCTGCCTTGGCTTGGGAGGGACCTGAAAGCTCATCTCATTCCATCCCTGCCATGGCAGGGACACCTTCCACCATCCCAGGGTGCTCCCAGCCCTGTCCGGCCTGGCCTTGGGCACTGCCAGGGATCCAGGGGCAGCCACAGCTCTCTGGGCACCTGTGTGAGGGCCTCAGCTGCTCTGGGCACCTGTGTGAGGGCCTCAGCACCCTCACTGGGAAGGATTTTTTCCCTAATGTCCCATCTAACCATAATGTCTGACAATGTAACGCTATTCCCTATCTCCTGTCACTTGTAAATCATCTCTCTCCATCTTCCCTGCAGCCCCTCCAGGCCCTGCAAGGCCACAATTCAGTGACCTCAAAGCTTCTCCTGTGCAGGTGAACAATCCCAGCTGTGCCAGCCTCTCCTCCCAGCAGAGCTGCTCCATCCTCTGCTCATCCTGGAGCCTCCTCTGGGCTCCTCCAGGTCCCTCTTGTGCTGGCCCAGGGCTGGGGCAGCTCTGCAGAATCCCCCCTGCTCTGCTCAGCCCAGGGCAGGGGATTTGGGGTCCCAGACACGGCTGGGGCATGTCCAGCCTCTCAGAAGCACTCTCACCTCTCAGTGCTTCTCCCCTGGGCTGCTCCATCTTTCCATGCCCCAAAATCAGCTCCCTGATTTCCACAGCCATGAGGGGGGAGGAAGCCTGAGGATATTTTGTGGTCCTGGAACTCTGTTGTGCATTACCCTTCACAATATATTTGAAATGTGATTTATAAAGGAATGGTGTCCATGTCCTGCAAGTCCCAGGTAAATTGCACAAACTGAACTGAGCTAAATTAGAGTGAGAATATTTAAGGGATGTTGCTATGCCTCAAACAAATGCCATCAATATGGAACTGAAATGTGTTTGGATAGTTGGATTGTTCATTTGGGCACAAGGTGGAGGCTGAATTAAGCCCATGACGTGCCAAACCTGGCAGAGCTGACACCGTGGCAGGAGCATGGGGACAGTCACTCCTTTATGCTAATCCAAGCTGAAGCAGATGTGATCCTACTGGTGTCTGCAGGGAAATCCTCATTTATAATGAAAGATGTTTTCACATGGTGTTCAAAGGGCCTTAAACAATCCAGTTTTTGCGAGCTGAACCCAAACATGATTTACTGAGGGGTGTGATGAATTGGTCATTAGCTGGAGCTCACAAGGCAGAAGTGGATGTTTGCTCTCCCAGGAGCGTTCCCTCCAGCTCTGCCAGATGCTGAGGTTTGACACCAGAGGAACCCAATGTAATTCTGTGCTTGGGTCAGACATGGCATCCTGCTGGAGCACAGCAATCCCTTTTAGTACCAAAACATGAAAATTTGATTAATTTCTGTCTGTCCTTACAGTGTAAGGATGTGTTTCCTCATCCTGTCCAAGGAGGACCTCTCCTTGCCTGTAATTCCTTGCACCCTCTTGAGCAGGGAGGCTTTCATAATCTCCTTATGAAAGCAGCCAGTGTCACTTATTCACCATGACATCTCTGTGATGACCCTAAGACCTCTCAATTATTCCCTCCCAAGTTCTTATGTCATGCAAGGAAAAGCAGGGGAATGTCTCCCCTCTGCTCCTGCCCTCTCTGCTGGCCTTTCCCTCACACATGGAGTTTTCAGCCTCCAAAAACATTAAAAATCACATTTATTTACAAATATGAGAGGCCAGAGTGCTGCAGCTCTGATAAATGGGTAAACCAGATATCATTGGGACTGTGTTTTCAAGCTTTTAATTCACATCTTTGGTCACAGAGTTGGAACTTTTTAATCACTTGATTTTACTGCAAGATGTCCCTAACTATTTATGACACTGGATGTTTGCTCTTGGATCTGTTTCTCCTGTGGGGCATCCTTTAGATCAATCCTTGTTTGTTCTATTAATTTGCTTAATTCTCTGGGGTTTGTCAAGTCTAATTATCTTCTTTCTTTCTTCCAGTTTTGAAATCAAGATTGATTAGCCAACAGGAGAAGACCCAGCTGGTTATGTGACTCAGAACCCTGTTCATGAGGCACTTGCTTGTTTTTACAAGACAACTGTAAGTTGCTTCTTTTTCTTTTCCTCCAACAAATTAGAAATTTACTGTTGTAACGTCATAGAAATTCTGGAACATTCTTGAGGAATTAATTTTGTTTGGTAAAATCTTGAATTTTGACTTGGTGATGTCAGGCAAGGACCAGACGTGCTCTATTCACTTTACCAGAGATTTTTCCCACATAGTGATGGTTTTACATTTTTGAATTGTTTAAGGAGAGATTCCCTTGGCTGGGAAGATCAATCTGCTGTCTCTGTACGTTGTGCTATGTGACATGTGGGATCAGGGAATGTGACAAACCTGTTTGGAGGGCTCTGCTGTGGGCTGTGTGAGGAGATGCTGAACCCCAGCATGGAAGTGGTGCAGGAGTTGCCTCCTCTGGCAGAGTTCTGCATTCTCCCACTGCCACCAGATCCTGGAGATTTGGACTAAATAATCCTTCCTCTGTGCTTGATGTAGACAGGGTTTTTTCCCCACAATTATAAATTTGTTTTTCATCAAGCAAACCCTCAATTTTACTCAAACTAGAATTTCTCAGGTAAAGTATCAGTTATAGTCTGGAATGCAGAAATGAAAGTTCCAGCAGTAACAGTGCATGGCTTAATTATTTTTTTTTTAATCTATATCATAAGCCATGTTTTATAAGCTCAGCTTAATAAAATTATTAGATTCAGGTGGAGTGCTGATACATTTGTCACCGTGTTTGGTGTGGTGTGGATCTAATTTACCATTTTTCACTTGTGTGAAAATACTCTGCCTTAGCAGTGATGAGACTTTAATTTCTGTAACAGGTGGTGGGGGTTTTAATTATTGAATTTTGAAGCCATGCATTTACAGGATGTTCTGCTTAGATGAGCAGGAATCCAGCCAGTGCTATTAGGTGTGGGGCAGCACCACATTATCTCCAGCTTTTCTTTAGTTATAACTGCACTGAAAGGCAGGCAGGCTGGGTTGGCTGAACTTCATAATCTTGTTAAAATGGCTTTGCCCAACTGCCACTGATTGTGTAAAAATTCCACTGTTTTGTACAAGCTGGTATTTATTCTGAATTTTCTCTTGAATAGCAAATGATTCTAGTGACTTGGAAGTGCCTGTACAATCTGCATTTTTCATTTGTTACCTCTCTTGTTGCTGAAGGTTCATTAACCAAGGAGGGAAAATGAGGTATAATGGTCAAACTATTAGAGAAAAAATGGGAAAATAGCACTCACCAGCAAGTGAGTTTTGGGCTTATGAAATAGTAGAACCAATAGAGAAAAATTAGTAACTATTAACTGTGAAATAGAATTTTGTAGAGTGAAGTATAAGCTTCGTATTCATTTTTTATGATTGCAAGGAGATGTCTGAGCAAATTTTCTTTATGACAACAATAAATATATTCCAAAAATATTGAGATTATTAGAAAGGTATCAGGGAAGAGAGAATCAGACTCTTTTTTCAGCAAGTAAACATGGAGAACAGAGAGATAACAAGATACCCTGTTGCTTTGGGTGTCTGCTCACAGAACTCTCCCTCTCCTATGATGTGTGTGGAACAGACTGAAAGCTCAATAGAAGCACAAAGAAATGAATAACTCAGATTAAAAGGCTTTGCTGGTTTTCTGTGGGTAGTGAAGGAAGCTCTCCATAGTTTAGAGCTCTAAGTTCTGGGTAGCTGCTCTGCAGAATACTGCACAAGCTCATTTTAGATTAATTTTTCTATACTGTATATTGAAAAACCTGTTAGGAAGTTGATAAAAAAAGTATATTATACAAAGTGTATTATACAAAGTGGCACTTGCACAGATTTAATGCATTCAAAATATTATGTAATGTAAATGTGGTGAGAAATTACTCAAAGGTTTGCTCTTTTTCCACCGCTGATTTCCAGATGGATTTCCACTCAGGTGATGAGTGTACCTATAGTTCTCACCTCCATGTAAATGTTTGATGGTCTCTTCTAGCTAAAACGAACCCAACTTCTATCAAAATGTTCTAACAGGTGCCTATATTTTTTCAGTATGGAGCAGAATGAAAACATGGTCATAATGACTGTGTGGGCAACTGTGCCATCAAATATTGCAGAGTGCTCAGCATCACTTCTCCCTGACAGCAGCAGTTTGTCACTGCTGCTTTAATGAAGGTTTTAATAGGTGCCACAAGCTGTGCAGACCAAATATTGTGCTTGTCTTTCAAAGCAATACAGATTTGAGCTTCATTTCCCCCCCAAACTCTTAAAACAAGTAGTCTATAATCTATTTGTCAGACATTTAAATGTCTGTTAGAGACTGAAAAGCAAAGACAGACTTACTACAGAGGAACTTTCTTAGTCATTCAGCTATTAAAAAAGAAAAGCCTCCCAAGGTTTTTGTCCCTTTTTTTTTTTTTTTTTCAGAGAAATAAGAGAGTTTGAAATACTGTAATTTTCTCTATTTCTCAGTATAATAGTTTCAATTCCTGTTGTGGAAGGCAAGATGCCAGGCACAACCACACAGTTCAGCGAGCTTGTAGAGATAAAAAAATTGTAACCCTCCCAAAACAAACCTTCCTAGAGCCTTCAGCCTCTCCCATCCCATTCCAGGGTAAGAGGGGCTGAATCCCTGGATTGCTCAGTTTAACTTCCCTCCCAGCCAGAGCTGAGGCTGCACACATGGAAGGGGTTTCTGTTTGATGAACACGGAGCACCTGCTGTGGTCAGACCTTGGCAGGAGCTGCAGACAAGAGCCAGGAGGTCCCAGTGCTCTGGGAATGCTCTGGGAATGTGTCTGCTCAGCCCAGGAGCCCACAAGGATTTGCTCTTCTCCAAGGCAGCTGCAGGTGTTGTCCTCTCCTAAAGACGTTCCCATGTGAAATCCTTCCTGGATTTGTTTTGTCATCCCTGTGATTTATTGGAGTTATTAAGGAGATGCTTTGGGCTGTGCTGTTATTTCTGTGCTGCTCAGCACTGAAATGCCAGCTGGAGCTGGGGATGGAAAGCTGAAGGAGTGGTTTTATCTTGTGTAGCTGCACCTGCTTTCCCCTCCTGGCCTGTAATTGCAGGGCACTGGGAAGCCGCTGAGACTTTTCCAGTAGTGAGGAAACCTTTGGCAAACAGCTTTTGTCACTTCTGCACCTCCACTGGAGGCAAACAGCAGAGCATGGGGCTCCCTCCACTGCAATTCCCAGCACAAATTATCCCAAACCACGAGAGATGTCAGCAAAGCCTGGTTTGCAGGTGGGATGTCAGAGACAGCACCATCCATCCTTCCATCCATCCCTCCATCCCTCATCCATGGATTCCATCCATCCGTCCCTTCATCCATCCTCATCCATCCCTCCGTCCATCCATCCATCCATCCATCCATCCATCCATCCATCCATCCCTCCATCCCTCCATCCATCCATCCCTCCATCCCTCCATCCATCCATCCCTCCATCCCTCCATCCATCCATCCATCCATCCATCCACCCATCCCTCCCCTGCATTTCAAGGGGAAGAAGAGCCTGTTCCTTTTTCTGGCATTTGTGAATGTGATCTTGCTCCTTCAGAGGGCTTGTGCAGAAGCAGAGCGGATCTGTACCTACAAAAACCTGAACATTCATCTTCTCTGTGCACAAATAAATTAAATATATAAATATCTGTGAATGAATCTGAGCTCTTCCCTAGAGCTACCTGTGCATTCATTTTCTCTGTGCACAAATAAATTAAATATATAGATATCTGTGAATGAATCTGAACTCTTCCTCCTTTGAAGAGCAAACTTCCTTTAATTAGTCTTTCCCTACTGTCTGATGTTAGTGACATTTATAATCATACAATTACTGCTTCATTTCAATTTTATGTTATTTTCAGAGGTCAGGAAGGGTAATATCCCAACATAACCACACTCAGTGAGAGGGTAACAGCTGACAGGAGTTCTTGCATGGGGTTCTCATCAGTAGATCTTGAAGTGCATTAGAAAAATATGGATTTTTATCCCTGTTTTAAAGGTGATTGGAACTTTGACCTTCTGAGGCTGCCCAGCATGGCTGTGCAAACCTCTCCATGTGTTTTATTGCCTAAACATCCCATCCGACTCCTGAGCAATAGATTAAAATACAATGTAGAAACACAACAGCAAAAAAAATTAATGGAATCTTAATGGAATAAAATTAGGATTTAAAAGAAAAAAAAAACTGAAAAAATGGAACATATTCCTGCTGAATTCTGTATTATGTGTTTGGTTCAATCATCTCTTGGACAGATTAGCATGAAGTTATTATGCAATGTCAGTTAATTTTCTAATTAATGAGTGTTACCCTGGGATTTAAGTAATTCTCACCTGTCTTGGTGCGACCTGAGTGTTAAAAATGGCAAAGAGCCTCAGTGTCAGGGGCTGCTTTTCCTCTCCCTCTCTGCCAGAGGGAACAGAGTGGTTGTGCTCCCCAGGATTCCAAGGAATTGAGCAATTTTGGGGGGAAAATTCAGGTGAGACTTTGGTGCCTGCCTGAGGGACAGGAGGAAATATATTTGATTTATATCAGTTTATAAATGACAGCCTGGCCCTGGTTTGAGTCTGTGTGGCTCTGGGGGCCAGGCAGGAAAATTCCTGCCATGTCCAGCAAGTAAAATTTTCATGGAATTTTCTTATTCATTAGGACATGATTGAAAGACTTTATTTTTTAAATCACATTTTCATACTCTCTTACTATTTACTGTGTCATTATTATTTTTTTCTTTGTTACTACTTTTGAAACACCTTTCTAAATTAAAAATCTTTGGAAATGTTGAATGTAACTTAAAAGATAAGAGCTCATAGTAATGAGAGTACTTTTATAGTATTCATTTTATTATAATATATATATATATATATATATGTATATATATATATTAGTTTTGCATGATGAGGATATTTATTTTTCCTGCTTTTTTAGTGGCTTTGCTTCACTCTCACCAGAAGAGCTGCTTTGAGGATTGTCAGGAAGTTGTTAATTGTATGTTCTGAGTGTTTCTTTTTGAAAAAAAGGCATTTTCAGGATTTCTGCACTGGCCACCTCTGTAGGCAC